TTCCAGCTCTGTACGCAATTTAGAAATCAATGCGTCAACTTCCGTTGTACCCCCAAAGCATGGGTGATTCAGTAGCTTCGCGTGTAACTTGTCAATGAAATCCAACTGACTCTTTTTAAAACGCTGCTCTTGTCTCTGGATTAGCAACTGAAATTGATCGGAAGTTAGAGCCATTTTTTTACCCGTCATCAGTAGTTATAACGCATGATAATAAATCAAAGATCAAAATAAAGCTAATGATAAGAGAAAACACGAATATGAATAGTTTAGTTACGTAACAATTGTACAATAGGAAATAAGCATAATACACTGGTCGATAAATAGTCCTTAGAGTTACCATTCATAATTCACCAGGGGATATAACAAACTCTTAACCCTCATTTAACCCTATTAAATAGATGGACATTCTCCAAGTTACTTATCCATTACTTAAAAATCATTCATAAATTTTATAGGTTTACCATGTTATTAGATGCATAAAGTTATGATCACTATTATTATTGATTTACATTTTGCAAACTTTCTGTCAATGAAGAGTCATTCATTCATTGGAAACCTTTGAAAAATATTTCAATTTTTCCCCCAGTTCTTTCGACCAATAATTCTGATGATGAAATAAATTAATATAATGTAACAGAAAATAATTAAATATTCATTCATAGACTTTATAAGCAAAGATGTATAGTGACTAGCAGTGGAATCCAGGTGGCTATTAGGACTCAGTAGCTAAGTGGATAATTATGGAAAACCTGTAAGCACTGGATGGCCGTTTTGTCCTATTGTGGGACTACTTAGCAGTGCATATCCACGATATCACCTTGCGAAATTTAAACCGATGACCTATCAGTCTAGCGCGTGAACGCTTAACCTCTAGACCACTGAGATGGTTAGCATCCAAAGGTGTTAATGTATAACTTCAACCGATCCACGAAATTGTTTTAGCAATATTGTTATCTAAAATAATTTTTATATAAAAAATTCCCATCAACATTTTGAACTAGAAAAAAACATTTAAATACTGGGATCCTGGATTCCATTGCTAGCCACTAAACGTCTTTGCTTACAATGCTTGTGAAATAAGGCTATATCAAGGCAATACGCATAGTTTGCACATATGCCAAATAAACAATACTAAATAAATTTCAATTTCATCCCATTGCACAAGCAAGTGGCTATCAGGACTCAGTAGTTGAGTATATAACGCGTTGGTGTTTGAAGTGAAAAGTACTGGGTTCGAGTACCAGAATGAACATCAACTCTGAGATGCATTTACACCCAGTTGACGAGTTCGAAATAGGATGAAACGCGCGTCGTAGATTCCACTTCTAGCCACTATCCATCTTTGCTTACCATGCTTGTGAATTTAGACTATATCGCGGCAATACGCACAGTATGCACATATGTCAATAAGAGACTGACCAGTTGCAGTCCCGACACATCAATGGGAAGATCCAAACAAACAATACTAAGTTGAATTTAAACTGGGTTTATTTCTTGTTTTTTTATAATGGTCAAAATGTCAGTTTTGAAGAATTAACACATCCTTCATTTTGTAATGATACTTAGCTTACAAATGATCAACATTTACGATAGTTTTGGTCCAAAGATTACGTGAACGTTATAATCAACTTTGATCCATTAGTTCAAACTGTATTCTTTTTTGAACGTTGAATAAGCAGTTTTTCGTCTCATATATATGATAGTATCATGTTACTTATGTAAACAAAACAGATATTGTTTACCAAAACAATGAACTTTATACTGCTGTTGAATATTGTAAACCAGCTACGAATGTCTAGCGGACAGCATAGCTAATATAAGTTCATAAGTTGAAATGTTTTGTTAAAACACTAGTTTATCCTAACCTCAACTGATCAGATAAAAGATTGAGCTCAAAAAAAACCACTGCCTACCTCCAAAGGCGATTTCGACTAATGTAAAAGTAGATTAAGAGAATATTAAACTTAGGCTAACCAAGATATAATATCAGTTCACAAAGTCAATTACTGTTAGTTCTAAACGTAGTAGTGCATGTAGACTAACTGATTTAGGTCTAAGCGATTATCGTAATCAATGGTTGAAGATGTTGGATACAATAGCTCAATATCGGTCGCAATATTGCAGTTGCATTCAATATTTGTTTCCCTCAAGTCTTGAGTTTTAAAATTCTTACTTCAATCTCCAGAATTCATCCCTTCTTCTCAAGTCTCAAGTCTTGTCTATAATGAATGTTTTCCTCTACTACTAATACTATTGCTATCTCAATTACTTTAGCCCTTTTCTTAATATTTTCATCTCACTATTCCGATATAATGTCACAGCTTAAACTGACATACATTTATACCAGGTTCTGCGTCATTTCTGATTGTATAAGTAATGAATAAATTGTTATTGTATTCTATTTAGATCAAGTAGTTATTAAACACACCATTATAAAGCAAACTAATTATCTAGTCACAACTACTCAATCTATACTAGAACGTTTCATTAATTTTGAAAGTCGTAGATGTATAGCTTCTGAAGGTGTTTTGTGTCTAATAATTAAAACGGTTTTATGGCTTCATGCTTATACTGTTAATATGGGTCACATAAAAAAACTGGGTTTGAATTTCGAATAATTTGATAATAGTACTTTTAACACTTATTATGTCATATTTTACAATTCTAAATTAATTTATAAATAACTGAACAATTCTTTAGTTATCAGAAAGAGTTCAAATCTTAAGAGGAGGGATCGTGGATGCACACTGCCGATTAGTAGTCTCACAATAAGACAAAACGGTCATCCAGTGCTTCCAGGTTTTCCATGGTGGTCTAGCTTCAATTGATTCATGATCTCAATTATTAAAATCATTAAAAATTATCAAATATTTTGTTTTGTTTTCCGTCAACTCAATATACACAAAAATATGCTAATTCATTGATTATTTTAATTATTTTCTGGAGGTTTCTGATTCTCGAAGCTGAATTATCTTCCATTTTTTAAGATCCAGTTATCATTACAAACTGGGTTTTGTGAAGATTTCAGTATTTTCATAGTTGACCTTTTAAAATAAAGTGAAAACTCACTATCTTTTTCCCTATATTGTCAGTTAACTTCTGTCATAGTTACTGATTGGAATTTTATTCATTTAGTCCAATGTTTCATTTCTTTAACTAAATACATTGAAAAAGAAGAAAGGTGATTCAGCAAAGAAAATTTTCTTTTCGACGATTTCATCTACTTACACTGTACTCTCCTATTCATAGTTAATTTTATTTGCTAAGTGGTTCTCCGAATCTTACACTGTCCGGTTGTCCAAACGATTACAGAAGTCAATCAAAAATTCAGTCTTGGAGCAAATAGCCAATCCTCCTTTCAAAGTATACATACATCCAGAAAAGTGGAATCAATAAGAATTCAAATGAAAAACTTATGTATAGAATAGGTTATTGCTATCCATCAATTTAAGCCTAACCTTTGCGTACAAAAGTAGTATGTTCATTCCCTCATTCTTCCATGACCATAACCTCCTTTTCTACCTTCTACAATGTCTATTTTATTAAATTCTGACTTACTTTACCAATCTTGCTCCTTTCCCATTATTTTTACGACTATTAATTAGCAATTATTACAACTTTTAATAGTTTTGCTCTTAATAACTATTAAATGGACGATTATTTTACCTTATTGCTTTTTCATTAGCCCATTATTACATAATTTCCTTTCAATATCTGAATTTTAATTCTTGAAAACATACCACTTCAAGTTCTTTTCAATTAATAATCACCTTTCTATATCACCAAAGAACAATATTTTAGCAAATAAAATTGACTTTACATAGTCAAGATCATGAGTCAATTGAAGCTAGATCATCATGGAAAACCTGGAAACACTGAACGGCCGTCTCGTCCTACTAAAGGAATTCTCAGTAGTGCGCATTCACGAACCCTCCTCGCGAGATTCGAACTCAGGACCTACCAGTCTCGCGCCAGAACACTTAACCGATAGACCACTGAGCCGGAATCCGATGGTTTTAATGTCCAACCTCAACCAATCCACGAAATTGCGCGATCAACTTCCATTTTACTGAGGTAGATACCTGTCTCTACCTGACATGGATTAGCTCCACTGGTCACGACTTCTCGCTAGAACTCCAGGAATCATCTCATGGAGCCAGTCACTAATGAGCATATGATCATTATCAGAAGGGGGTTTCGTGAAAATTTTAGTAATTTTATATAGTTAGGATCATGAGTCATTTGAAGCTAGATCACCATGGAAAACCTGGAAGCACTGGATGGCCGTTTCGTTCTATTGTTGGACTCCTCAGCAGTGCTCATCCACGATCCTGCCTAGCGGGATTTGACTATATATACGATTGTCTAGCATCAGTTATTGAAATCGTCGAAATGAGAATTGTCTTCGTTGAATTGCTTTCTTTCTTCTTCTTCAATGACACAATAGATCTCTTTCATATAACTACATTTGATTTGTGTCGACATTATGTAGGACATTCACCTCTATGAACTAGGTTTTCTTGAGATGATCAAAAATTAGGTAAAGTTAAACTGATTAGACTGGATATCTAGTTAGTGAAATATGTTAATCGACATAAATGTTTCTCAGCTGTTCTAGTTATTTATGTGTAAGATAAAATATTGACTAATTGATTTGTCAGTTAACCAAATATAAAGTTATTTTTCCTTGAGATGGTGGAGAAGATTTGTAGCTCAGGTGAGTGATTTAGATATAGGCTTGTTCTACCCAAAGTTTGCGCCGATGATGTCGTTCAGAAGGACAATGAAAGCTCCACAAACAAACCATTCAGCTCAGAAAACAAACCTACATCTAAATTATTTTTCCTTCTTTAGAAAATCAACAGTTCATCACTGTTTTACCAAGTTAGAAAAGAATGAATAAGTGAAATGTAAAAACACTCCTGATATATATATGTCTCCTTTCATCTAACAATTTTAACCTCTGAACTCATTTCTTCTTTTTTTCTTATTTTTTGTAGGTTTCTGCAATTATTATTGGTTGTATTCTGTTGTGGTTTCATTTTGTGTCAAATGTTGAATAGTCGATACGGAGAGGCAGATTATCGTAATGAAGATCTTGATAGATATAATGCATTCTATGATGATGATCCTAATTACATTCAAAAACGTGTACAATTTCTACGTCTTGGTAAAAGATTAGCCAGGAAATCTGCTAATCCTTATGTTGGTTAAATATTATGCTGATTTCTTTTTTAAAAAAAGCAACCTACAGAAAACAACTGTTTAACAAAAAGATAACTTTTTAAAATGAAACTAAATTAATATATATAAGTAATTATTTGCTAAACTGTCTTTTTATTCTAGTATTCAGGGTAGCACACTATTGAGATGAGATGATGGTTGTTGAAGGTAGTCAACAAGAAATCCTGGAGCTAGGTTTCGTGCTACTTGGCACTTGTTAGCAAGGTGTATCTGTAATCTTGAGGGAACCGATAAATGAAAATAAATAAAAATCAGTTTCAGTTTGGAAAGGACAAGAGGCTTGATGGTCTGTGTTAGTCCTCGCAATGATGGTCTCTCAGCTGATCCAGCTTTCTTTTGAAAGAGTCGACGGATGAGGCCTCAACCACGTGCTGAGGTAATGAATTTCAGTCGTTGATGATTTGATGAGAAAGTCAGTAGTCAGTTGACAAGTAATTCGTTCTGGGCTTGTGAACTTTTTTGGAGTGTCCTCGTAAATTTTGTATTTTGGGAGATAAGATCGGGAGACCAGATTATATAAACCTGAAGCTATATCTACTCAATAACCAAGTGTATAACGCATTGAAGTGAAGAGTATTAAGTTTGAATTTATTAATGAACATTAACTCTAGGATCCAGGTATATTGAGTCAACGAGTCCCAATCATAAGATTAAATCAGCGTCCTGGATTCCACTAGTAAACACAATCCATCACTTCTATAAAACTTGTGATAAAATGGCGAAATAGAAGACATCGTTACATGATGTACATATGTCGAAATCATTGATTAGTTTTAAAAATCAATGAGAAGATTCAAACAATCATTACAAATGAAGTAAAAAGAATAGCTTTCTGAAGATCACAAATATAGTTACTTACTTACTTAATTACTTACGCATGTTACCCCCAATAGAGCATAGACCGACGACCAACAATCTCCAACACACTCTGTCCTACACCTTCCTTTCTAGTTCTATCCAATTTTTGTTTATTCTTCTCATGTCTGTCTCCATTTCTCGTCGTAATGTGTTCTTTGGTCTTCCTCTTCTCTCCTGGCCTTCAGGATTCCATGGGAGAGCTTGCCTTGTGACGCCGTTGAGTGATTTCCACAATGTGTGTCCTATCCACTTCCAGCACTTCTTCCTCATCTCTTCCTCAACTAGGTGGAATCTGGTTTGTTCTCTCACACTGTAGTTTGTTGCTGATGATATCTGGCCAACGGATCCAAAGTATTTTGAGAAGACAACTGTTAATAAACACCTGTATCTTCTGGATGATGGCTTTCGTAGTTCTCCAAATCTCCGCCACATACAGTGGAACTGTCTTGACATTTTTATTGAAAATTCTGATCTTGGTGTTGGTTGACAATTGTTTTGAGTTCCTGATGTTCTTCAGTTCTAAATATGAAAGATAAAAAATATAGAATTTTTTAGAAATCATGGTTAGCCTAAAAATAAACAATAATTATGAAGAATCATTTAGTCAATATCTAAGCAGCTTTTATATCCAAAGAATCATACTGTCTATCTTTACATTTTAACTTTACAGAAGATGAAATCGTGTATTATGTTCAAACTTATCTTCCTTCTTCTATACTTATTTCCTATTATTTTGAGATATTTGATCGTTTTAACTAATTCACATTTACACATAGTATAATTATCAATTTATTGATACATAAAACATATAAATGGTACTTCTTATGTTTGTTTCAAAACAAAAGCAGTGATCAGTGAAGTTCAACTTAGTCTGTTATGAGATAGTAACTCAATGAAGGCAATGGTGGGTGTGTCGTTCAATTTCATGGGTTGGTTGGAGTTCGACATTAACACCGTTGGATGATAGCCGGATCAGTGGTCTATCGATTAAGTGCTCTGGCGAGAGACTGATAGGTCCTGGGTTCGAATCTCGCGAATCTCGTGGATACTCACTACTGAGGAGTTCAACAATAGGACGAAACAGCCGTTCAGTGCTTCTAGGTTTAAAATAATGATCTAACATCAACCGATTCATGATTATTCATTTAAAGGTAATACAGATAAAAAAACGAGGTAACTTGGAAGTAATAATAAAAACATTTACATAATATGAAGGGGATATTTTCTCCAATATATAAAATGTTTTTTACATATCATATAAACTCCTTCTCTTTCTAAACATCTGCTTTAATTTAACATTAACATCATTGAATGCTGGTTCAGTGGTCTAGAGGTTAATCGCTCACGAGTGAGACCAAAGCCCCTAGGTTCAAATCTCGCAAGGTAAGATCGTAAATACTCACTACTGAGGAATCCCATAATAGGACGAAACAGCCGTTCAGTGCTTCTAGGTTTTCAATAATGATCTAACATCAACCGATTCATGATCTCAATCATTGGTGTTATTTCGAGTATTTTATAGGGAGAATTAATCAACATCAATTAATCATGTAATACAGATAAAACATTTACATAATAAAAAGGGGATATTTTTCCCAATATATAAAATAATGTTTTTTATATGTCATACAAACTCCATCTCTTTGTGAACATCTGCTTTAATTTGTTATTTGTAAACAATAGTTTAGATAAATCATACTCTTTCCCCAACCCCCTAACCCCTATGTTTTTTTTTTGCTTATCATTATTATCACTGATAGAATTGTTGTTTCTATATGGAAACACTAAATGATTAGAAGGATTAATAGTATTATCTATGATGAATACAATCGACTGTCAATTGTTTATGTCTAGTCAATTTTGATTAATATCAATAACGTTTTTAGAATAAATAAAAAAATAAGGGGGTATGAATACAAAGCAAAGTAGATCAGTCAATAAGTAATTACCGGAAAAATAATTATTTTTATTTTTATTGTTAAAGATAAAGTTAATCCTTATTCACAGTGGAGATAGACTGTGTCTATCAATGGAATTCAAGAAACGAGTTTCATACTAATTAGATCTCATCAAGTGTATAAATCTACATCCTAGTGTTAGTGTTTATTTTGTTTGTCGCTTGAAGCGGAAAGTAGTAGTGTAATATGGTCTACTTATATCCATATAAGTAGTATATGGTGATAGTCAGACAAAGAATATATTTTGGCAGAAGATCGATAAGGAAAGGAATGAAATGAAGCGTAATTGGTAGGAAAATACATAAGCAATGAAATTAGAGAAGATGGACTGATATTTACAGAAGGAACAGTGAAGATTGAGACAATTGATTGTTATTTTGTAAATTAACTATTGACTGTATGGTTATTAGAATTTACTGAGATAGCCTGTAATTTGTGATTAAATACATTCGATTATCCCTAGTAGTGTTTTTGTTCACTACAGTGGATGAGAATTTAAGAATGAATATGAACTCTGGGTTTCAGGAGCATTCAGACGACGAGTTCCAATGGTAAGACTAATTCAACATTTTGGATTCCACTACTAAACATATTTATAAAGATATTTATATATAAAAACAAAAGATCTACTAGACTGGAAATGGGGGGCGGTAAGAGTAAACAAGGATAATAATAATAATAATAATAATGTGAAAACATTTTCAAACCTAATCACTCTGGATAATAAGCCAACATTACCAGGGTAGCTTTAAGGTGAGAATTTTCGTATGGTTAAGGCTTTAATAAACCTTAGTATACGCCCTTTTTCATCAAGAAGATACAGGTGTTTATTAACAGTTGTCTTCTCAAAATACTTTGGATCCGTTGGCCAGACATCATCGGCAACAAACTACAGTGTGAGAGAACAAACCAGATTCCACCTAGTTGAGGAAGAGATGAGGAAGAAGTGCTGGAAGTGGATAGGACACACATTGTGGAAATCACTCAACGGCGTCACAAGGCAAGCTCTCCCATGGAATCCTGAAGGCCAGGAGAGAAGAGGAAGACCAAAGAACACATTACGACGAGAAATGGAGACAGACATGAGAAGAATAAACAAAAATTGGATAGAACTAGAAAGGAAGGTGTAGGACAGAGTGTGTTGGAGATTGTTGGTCGTCGGTCTATGCTCTATTGGGGGTAACATGCGTAAGTAATTAAGTAAGTAAGCATACGTCCTTTTATAATTTTATATAACACACAAAAGCCTAGATTAGACCAATCTTATGACCTGTTTTAATTATATATTTGGCAATAAAGGACGATAGATGTTTATTCTCTACTCTTATTTGGTCACTTGATTCTATTTGTATCCTTGTCACCTTTTATCCCTCTCCCTCCGCATTTCTAGTCTAGTTGACCTTTTATTTTTATATATAAATTTTCTTAACAAATATATTATATGTAATCAGATTGTATAAAAATATATTACTCTAATATATCACATAATTCTGTTAATCTTCATCATCTTATTACTAAACTATTAAAATTTATCAAAGGAATTAATTGCTTTAAATTTATAGATTTTAATCGAAAATTATTTTTTTTCTCTCCCCCCTTCCCCCCCCCAAAAAGAAGAAGAAATGAAAAAAATACTTAAAAAATCTTTCCATTGAATTAATTGTGTCATTTTATTCTTTATATATAGAGAAGCTTTTGAAAAATATTAAAAAAGTACATTTAAGCTTATTATTTTTATTATTTGATCTGTGAACTCTTTAACTATATAACGAAAACTAGTGAATAATTTGATAATAGTAATTTTAACACTTATTATACAATATTTTATCATCCTAAATTAATTTATAAATAACTGAACAATTTTTTTAGTTATCAGAAATGGTTTCAATCTTGAAAGGAGGGATCGTGGATGTACACTACTCCGGAAGAGTTCCACAATAGGATGAAACGGTCGTCAAGCAGTGCTTCCAGGTTTTCCATAGTGATCTAGTTTCAATTGACTCATGATTTCAACTATAAAATTCTTTGGTTATATGTACAAATCAACTTTGTGATAAAATTACATGTCATATATAAATATTTTTACATCCTTATTTATCTTACGTTATAAAAGACAAAACAATATTCAATAATATAAAGATAGCTAAAGTTTTG